CCCCCCCCCCCCCCCCTTTGGCTCCGACATTTCAAAAATAAATCCATGAATACACGGCTAAAACACGACCCTGTAAATGGTATTCAGGCATCTGACACACTCTTCACGCACCTTACAGTGTACTTACAGAACCGAAACACTGTAAGTTATATCATCACACTGAGTGTCATAAACTAGAACCGCGAAATCCACACATGATGGAAAAATCGACAATATTCATTTTGATAACCCACTAGTTTATGACCTCTTCAGAGATCGTAGACTCTTTGGATTTTCGATTCCGAGTTAATCAGACACGTCCATTTTCCCTGTTAATTATCTGTTTGACTCAGCTGTAATTTACGACTCTGTAAGTGCGGAACCAGGAAAAAACAGTCCCGCCGATCTTGAAATTCTTGTGAGCTCTGCTGATGACTTTCATCCATCCAAACGAGGGTGGTTCGAACCGATCTACGGTTTTCGCACTTCAAGAGGATGAGCTTAATTCTTTCATTTCAAGAGGTCCCACGAGCAGTCTACTTCTACTTATACTCTGCATGAAAATTGGTTGAACCAGTCAATTTTTTTCAACACTTTCGTTCTTTTCATCTAGGTTGAAAATCAGTAAATGGGGAATTTACTCCAATTCTCGAAATGTTTATTTCTGTAGGCCCTATCGCGAAAACATGTACATCTCCTCGTGTTACTGAGGTTTGATCAACCATCGAAATCAATACACTGAAATCGGTTGCAAAATAGCGATAGTACTTTTGACTTTATAAAATTTTGGAAGATATTTTTCGGCACAAACATTCCTTAATAATTGATCTAGAGGCTGAAATTTGGATTTTTCCAAAATAATCATCCTGGTGATTAAAATTTGCTATAAGTCGATCGTAATTAGGGTGTATTGCGCAAAAGCTAAGGATCAACCTTAATGCGTTGAATTATAGCTATGCAGAGTGTACTCTTTTTGTTACGTTACAGCGGGGGAAAACTTCGGTTCGTATCTAAGGCGCACCAAAGTTAACGGTCGAAGAAAACCGGAAAGTTTGGTCATAGGAATCGAACTTCAGCTCAGATAGCCAAAGTCTTTGTTAGCCACACTGAAACCGTGTTAATTACCTTAGACTTCGGTTATCTGATTATGAGCCGAATGTTTCTTTTCTATGATCAAAAACTTTTGTTACCTAGATCAAAAATGTTGGTGTTTAATATATCGAAGGCCAAAGTGCAGAATCACATATCTCCGCTGTGGTGTTTCTAAATTTTCGCTCTTAATTCATTTTTTCGAAGAGAAACAAGGCCAATCCTTAGCTTCTTTTTATAGAATATTCTGCTAACAGAGAATAAAAAATCAAGAAATTGCGTTGATCCGTTTCTCATAGAGATTATAAGGTGCAACAGGAAGTAGGCGATGTCCCATGCTAACGGAGATACGCGATTCTGCATTTTGGCCATCGATATACCACAATTTAGTCCATGTAATCGAGGTCCTCTTAATCGGCCTTAAATGTCAATCCGTTCACATAAACATAAAGTAGGAATTAATAAACAATAATGGAAATAGTATTTACAAAACAATCTTAAGGAGCGACTGATTCTGTTGATCGACAAGTGGTTGATCGGCCAAAATCTCGAGCATTGTCAATCCCTTATAATTTATGTTTTATTTTCATGAGAGGCTCGTTGGAAAATCATGTCCCCTCGCGATGCTTGCCGTATGTTAATGGACTTGCATCCAACCGGAATTTACACTTCAACATGAACCTTCAGTCCTATCCTACACACTATTTTTAAGGGTCATGTCGAAATTGAGATAGGTTTCTATTGCTCAACACTCGTCTCATTGAAGAGTCTACTTTGTGTAAGCACACATTATGAGGACAATGACTAAGTGATTTTAAGCACCTACCTCTCGTGTTAATGCCTTAACCCCTCTTAAGCCACGGCTAATTATCACATTCGCGATGGGGAAGCCACCAGGCTTCTAACACGCCAAACTTTGTCCGAACGCCGCGTGCAGTGCACTTTTGTCGTTTTAAAGTAGCCAGCTCACCTTGAAAGTGCATGATAGGACTGAGGAATAGGGATGGAAACTTTGCATGCTCTGAAAAGTGATACAATTTTGATGCGCACGGAAAAAAATTTCATGTATAAAAATAAGTGAGATACAAAAGTACATAGGAGCTCCCGTGAGTAGCGCCAAGCGCGTGCTGAATTTACCAGAGGATCGATGTCTAAGCTCTGAAACCAAGTATCTCAAAATGCTGCGTTGCAAATTTCCACTCGTGCTTTATTTCTCAGAAGAAATAACAGCTTGTCATTATTTCTTGANAGTTGGATCGTATGAATTCTCTTGTTGTGCTACTTGCCTATTTTGAAATCTCTGTAAATGAAAACTAAAGGGGTTGATATGTGTGAGTTAATGACGCGCCTTATCAACACATTGTGTTGGAGTTCACTGCTTGTTTTTTTTTATGTATATATTTCTTCACCCTGCTACAATTGTTTCGTAAAAATTTCAAGCCAGATTATTTGTTGGTTTTTCTTTGGAATAAATAAAATATGAGTGGAAATTTTGAAACGCTGTCTTAGAGATTTTATTTTCCAGAATTTAACCATCGACTCATAATCTTGCTTTAAAAAACAACTGTTTGCATGATAATATCATAAAATCCTTCTGTATGGTTACTGAGAAAAAATATAGGCGACTCTGCAAAAATTAAAATACAAAAGAATAGAAATACGGGTAGCCATCAATGAAAAATAGACTGTCAGGTATTTTAATGAGTTAGGCACTTGGAAGGTTGAATCAAGCAAAGATGTAGATAGCAATCTTTCGGAAACTTTCTAAAGTCCAAAATTGATTTTTCCTATTTTTGCTGTGCATGCAAAGGATGAACTTTTGTTTTTTTCTTTCCACATTAATCGATTGTGACTGTAATATGAATGTTGTTAGATTTTTTGAGATGATTTAATGCTTGCGAGAAATGATAGTTGCTCTCTTTAATAAATGTTTTTTTATCCCTACTCAGATTCGTGATAATTCTCCTGGATTTTATTTTTTCATTTTCCTGTGTTCCAGTGATGCAAGCAGGTTTTGCTTGTCTGGAGGCGGGAGCAATACATGCAAAAAATGTAACGAATATTCTTTTGAAGAATTATCTAGACACTTGTAAGTTAAAAAAATAGCTACCTTTTTATAAATGTATTTTCATTATCTCTTTATCTCTAAATGTATTAAGTTGCTCTAATGAATCTCTGGGACAAATAACAACTTAAGAAATAATATCTTATCTTACTCTTACTATAGTAAAAAAAAATAAGGCCTTTTTTGTGTGTACGTCCGTGTCATTTCGCATTCTCATTGGTCTTTCATTAACCAATCAGAAAACGTCATTGAAAATCCCCGGGAAATTTAAATGTATTCTTCCGTAAAGGAATTATTGATAGGTAGACAGGTATAAAAATGGGATGTATTTCTTCTAATAACCAGGATAAAAGGGAGGATTATTACCTATACNTGTATTAAGTTGCTCTAATGAATCTCTAGGACAAATAACAACTTAAGAAATAATATGATAACAAAATTATAAAATTTTGATATTTCATGAAATAATTTTTATATTCCTTCCAGAAGACATTTGTGACATTGTGGCATTGTGAGGTTGGCTTTATGTACCCAAACCTAAAAACACAGAAACAGATCTTTTCATATTAATTTCATAGTTGCCTTTCTTTCAATTTTTCTATACCAGTTCTCCATTTTCACCAAGGGTTCCCTTAGAAACATATTATTCTTCGTGTGTAGGTATGGGTGACTTTTAAAACCAAAAATAAATAAATTGTAGTTTCAATTTCTCAGAGCACATACCTGAGAAGCATTCTTCTCTTCATTTATTCGGAGCTGATGGTATTCTATCAAGATTGTTAGAGGCAGAGTGTTCTGAAAAAATTTTCATGCGCGCATTCATTTAGAGAGCGCCTTCAAAATCCAGCGACGCAAAACAACTTTCATAATGGAATACTAATCACGATAATGAGGATTCACTGGGCTCTCTTTCTAATAGCATTAGCTGACAAAAAAAAATGATTAAAAACTCGTAAAAATCAAAGAGAAGACTAAGCAAAACTGAAAATACCCAAGTTATGGAACAAATTTTGTTATTTTTCATGTATAAATGTCACTCTGCACTTGTCGAAAAATGTTACCACATCATTTAAGCAAATTTCAACAAACATTTTACGATTCATATATTTTGAAGTTTATCTTGTAATAAGCGTCAATGTAGTGATTGTTAGAATTTGACATCATTAGGATGACAATTTATTCTCATTAATTTTTTCCTGAATTAGATCTCTCATACATTCTACTTAAAAAGGAGCAAAAGGGATTTTCTGACTCGCATATTTTGACAAGGCTCTCACTTTTTCAATTTTTAAAGTCCGAATTTAATTTCAATTGATGCTATCAGGGCAATTAAAATGCCTTAACAAGAACAACATTAACAACTTGAAAATCTGTTCGGACAGTTATTTGTTGCGTGTTCTACTGGGCGCTGGGATACGCGCTTGCTTACGGTCCTGGAGACAAATTCATCGGGGCGGGATGGTGGGCCAGCGTGGGGCTCCCGGCTGAGAGAAACGCTCATTGGTTCTTCCAATTCATATTCGCAGCCACTGCTGCCACCATCGTCTCTGGGGCGGTAGCCGAGAGGTGCAATTTTATAGCTTACCTCATTTACAGCGCTACCATATCAGGTTTGTCTTACCTATTATAATAGCACTTAAAATATGAACTTTTTAGTAAAATTAAAGTATAAACAAATTAAAATCCTAAAAATATTGCTGATGGTGCCGTTCAAGTATTGCGCAAACTACTTGAGGGAGAGGAAGGGGTCTTAACTGAGGCAAAAAATGACCCTAGTTTTTCCAGCGCCAACCAGTTTTTTGGAAAATCAAATTTTTAAAAATCGACCTTTTTTTAACTTGGAAAATCCTTTCTTTTAAAATTTAATATCCCACAAGTGTTAAGTAAAAATAAGGTCATTTTTGGTTTCACCGGAAATATTAAATGGGCACAGGATAGCACAATTAAACACCTAAGGTAGAACTTAACTGACGCAAAAAAATCGGATAAGCTATCATGGCCATACCTGGGTGAAAGAGGGCATTGGGTTGGAGGGACTTCGCTGTCAGGAACAGAGGGAATAGGAATATTTGTTGGGCAAATGATACATGTTCTCCTCTGTATTTTTTGCTGTTGGTGATCTTTGTTTTCCTCCATCGTGCTAAAACCTTCCTGGCAAAATCGAATTGATCCAGGTAAATAGATGTCAGTTTCTGAATCAGCGCTACAAATCCACAAATATTTGCCTTCAACATCTCGGCACATCTATAGAAAAAATTCCTTGTTGACCGATGTTATCGCTACTGAGGCGGAATGTTGTGTGTGTTGCTTATCTACTAATTGAAGGGGCTCCTAGGACTGACATTTTTAGCATTGCATTAAATGCATTTGAAATAATTTGCAATTCAAGTTGCTTGATTGCAATTTCATGGTAAAATAATTGACATTCTATAATGAATTTCATTGCAAATTCATTTCAATATTTTCGGGGCACGATTTCATCCGCTGATTAGATAACCACGTGTCTTGTTCGCTGTGTTTAAAAACCTCCACTCCAGAGCAAATCAGTATTATAAATTGAGGTTTTCACAGTTTTCTTCGCACGGCAAGGAAAAATCACGGAAATTTTCAAGAATCGACATTAAGTAATTTTCTACTTCAAAAATAAAGTATGACAGTAAGTCTACAACGTCGCAAACCGAGGTACGTGGTCTGGTAGTTTCACCGTCGATATGCTATTTGTAAAAAGAACCACTTATAAGGTGTCCCTACTTCTTAACTTCCTCCATTTTTTATAATAATTTGCATCTTTTGACTTTCGACTTTTAACTTTTGACTTTTTCCTGATCTCCGATAACAGCAGTCATATACCCGATAGCTAGCCACTGGGTGTGGGCAGATGGGGGCTGGCTCGCTGAAATGGGCTACTCAGATTTTGCCGGCGCCGGGGTGGTGCATATGCTTGCAGGAACTCTGTCTTTCATCGCGGCTCAGTCGATAGGACCGAGGATTGATCGATTCAAGAACGGAGCACCTCCTGGTCATTCTACTCCTGTAAGATACCCTCATCACTTGTGATTTATTGATTGATCTGTCATCTAAACCTATGGAAAAGGATCGCTAAACAGGGTATTCGCAACGAACACCTCAAAAATCGATTCTTTATTATAGTTTCAAATGGGGAAATATGAATAATCGATCATCCACGCTTTGCCAATGTTAAACATCCAGATTGCAAGAATGTGTTCTATAGATCAAAATGAGCCTTTTCTCTTCCACCCTGGAAAGAAAATTTCGAGCTGGCCTCGTACGTGTTTGAAGTTTCGATATTACATGAATCTTTATGGCGGAAAGAAAGTTGACGTGACTTTTCAACGCTCAAAAATTGGAATTTGGGAACAAATTTTTGACAGAATATGCATTAAGACTAGTTTTACTTGAAATCATTAATAGCTCAATTTTTTCAAAAACTGTAATTATGCATCTTGTCCTTCAAGCCTCTCAATTCCTCTACGAGGCTTAGATTCAGGTTGCTCTAAAAAGCTCTAGAGAGAATTTGGAGCGAATTTTCACAGAATATGCACTAAGACTAGTATTTTTCGAAATCATTAATACCTCAATTTTTTCGAAAACTGCGCTTATGCGCCTTGTCCTCTTAGCTCCGAAATTGAACTTGCATGACACACGAATCTGATTTCATTTTAATTGTATCCTGTATGTTTGTTTAGTTGGTCTCTCTAGGAGCTCTCCTGTTAGTTGTGGGCTTTCTTGCTTTCAACGGTGGATCCTTGGGGCACATATCTCACCCTGGTGATAGCGCAGTGGTGGCTCAAGTCATCAATAATACGATCATGGGTGGCTCTGGTGGAGCAATCGTTATCCTGCTGGCCAGCCGAATTGGGTTTTGCGGAGACAAAAAGTGGTCTTTTATGAATACCATCAATGCTGGACTCGCTGGAATGGTGAGCGCAATATTGGACTTTGAACCGTAACATGATTAATTGTGATAAGGAAAATAAAGAACATGCGGATTTATAGTTAGGTTGGAAAGAGCATACTTCATGCTGTAAATTTTAAATATTTACTTGCGTACATAAATACCAGGGCGAAAGATTTAAAAATGTCTTTGGTTTCCATCATGCAGGACCGCAAAAATGCTTACAGCGTTCTCTATAATTTTCATTAGTCATAGCGCCTCTGATGACCGGAGATATGGTCACAGGCGAGACTTTCCGAATGAATACTAGTAAGCATGCTCAACATAAGTATCTTTAATGTCTTTAAAAAAAATATCTCATCTCACGAATATCCAAATTTCTGTCATAATATCCATCATAAAAATATTGATGTAAGAGGAAGTCTGTTTCAAAAAGAGTTTGCGTTTATCTGCGGCAACATATCAATGAGTAAATTCAAACCTAAGCCTGGATAAATTAAAATTCAACAGCATTTTGGTTTTATTGTGTATTTATGTAATTATTATAGTCCGTAATTATTGCAAAAACCTGTTTTTTTTCTTTTTTTCAATATTTATTCAGCACGTCTATGTATATACAAATTTAGCACTATACCTTTAACTCCCTCATAACATCCATCCTTTAAGCTCAGATGATCCAATAGTAGTCACCGACATTTTAAAACTCTTTAAGCAATTAAATTTAAAAATTTAAGGTTTCCTGGTCCCCGACGTAAATAGCCTGGTTGATTAAAGCCTGGTTGATTAAAGCCAGTTAGCCTGGACGTAAATTAAGTAACTAACTAACTTAAATAAGTACCTTTAAAAAATATATAAAAAAAAATAATAAAAAAATAAATTGAAAAAATCACAAGAAGTTCCGCGGTTCCGCCTTTAAGTGTATTCATCCAAAACATCGAAGTTAAGACCCATTGTACCGCGCTCGAATTTCATCGGCATCGCGTACCATTGAGCGGAGCCTCGTTGCGTGAGGGGAACTCCGCGTACACTCGCTGTAAGTACACTCTGTACACCCCGCCCATCCTCTTCCCCTTCACCAGTCCACCTCCTCTCCTCCATACCTCCTTCTCACCACTCCCTACTTTCCATTCAACGCTGCCCTCGCTCATAGATAGCGCTACGTGATTCTAAGCAAACTTCGCGGATTTAATTCAAATTTTTCCTCAGTCGGAGTATCAATTTTTTTCAAAATAAAAAATTTAATATACGGCAATTTTTTCTCCATTTTTTCATATATAATATTAAGCGCTGAGGCGGATAAGTGCTACAGGGTGTTCACTTGAAAGTGTGCACCCTGGAGGTGGTCGCTAAATCCGTATAGATGGGACGGCTTGGATGTGCCTTAGACGGTATCGCTTCTCGGCCTTAATGGCTAAGATCAAAGTGTAGTATCTGTTCTTATCAGCTTAATATCTGATACGGCCCGCACTGCGGGCCCAGTATATTAAACTTATTTTTGGAAACAGGCGAAGTGTCAGGGGCTTGCTCCACCTTTGCCACGGATCGGCCCGGTATTGCAGTACCGCCGGGATCGGTCCAATAATCTATCTTGACTCCCAACTGTTCATGCATTAACATCATATTAATATTATTATTCATAAAATTAATATTATTATTCATAAAATTAATATTATCTCGATAATACTAATTATTAGTTTACTTTAGCGTGAAAAATACGGTTAGGTAGACGTAAACACTTGCTTCAAATTTATTTCAGAGAGAAATCCTAAAAATTTATGGTCACGATAAGAATATTTAGCACAGTGCGCTTACTGGCTTACTTGGGCCTCAGTCTCATATCATACTGCCACCGCTAGGTGACTGCCTTTATAGGTGGTTTTAAAATTTCCATGGAAACACCCAGATCCGTAGAAACGTTTGACTGAATTTTTTTTTAAAAATTCTTAATTTCTTACATTTTTTATATTTTTTTCATCATTATTTTTTTTTCAATTTATTTTTATTCATTCTCTCATTTATTGTGCATCTCGGTAACTGCCCCAGTGCCGCTGTTCCTCTCTTAAAAATGAAGGATGCAGTATACAGGAACACTAACTGCACGTACAATAAAATATATCTATATTAGTCCTAATGACTTAATTAGTTTTATTTCTCAATTTTTTTTACATTTTTTTTATAAAAACATTCATATTTTTTTTCATTATTAATTTTAAATTTATTTTTATTCCTTTTCTCATTAATTATTTTTTTTCAATTTGCTGTGACAGGATAGAAAAGTTTAAAGTGTCCTCCTCATTCTATTAGAAATCACAATTTGTATTATTTTCGGCAGGTTTCAATATGCGGTGGAGCTGATCAGTTCTATCCTTGGGCCTCATTTGTGGTCGGTATAGTTGGCTCTTTCGTTTACATCATTATTCATCATAGCTGCATTAAATTAAAAGGTGACTGATTATTATCATTATGCCCTTAATCAGTTAAACGCATCTATTCAAACGACCTTTACTTGCCCCAATTGCTTTTGTAGAAGAAAGAATATTTTAAGAATAATCAACTGTATTGTTCAGTTTTCTGCTACATGTATTTCTTCTTTTTTACATTTTCTGGTCGATTTAAAAGAAGTGTAGTTTGGTTGGCATCACGGGAATTTGCAGGCGCACCGGTTTTATCGTCTTTGCTTTTAAGGTTTTGTCAAAATAGTTAAGCACGCGTCGACGCGTCTTCGCGGATAACCCCAGCCGAGAGCCAAACAAGACCAAAAAACTGGTGCGCCTACGAATTCCCGGGATACCACCCAAACTGCACTTCTATCTAAATCGACCACAAAATGTGAAAAAAGGGGAAAAATGAAGCGGAAAACTGAACGCTGCACTTTCTGCTGTCACTTAAAAAATGCCTCCTTATCTATTGGCCTTCGAAAAATATGAATTTCCTTTAAAATGACGTATCCACCTGCAACCTGTGACTTTCAATTCCAAATAATCATGTTTTACATTCTAGTATCTGGTCAAATAAACTGCTAATACAAGTTTTACTCAACTTAGAAGCTTCTCGAAAACACACACTGGTTTTCATTACGTTCTACAACCAAAAGAGATTTGAGAGCATAATTGACGTATTTCTATGAAACGGACCTAAGCGCCATAGGGTGAGGAAGGTAGAGGGAGGCTTGGATCGACGGCGGAATCGGGCGTCCGGCTTTTTCCGTCCTATACTCGCAATGCTTTTCCATGGCGCTTAGGTCCGTTTGACAGAACGCGCTATCCGGGATTCTAAATTCCTCAAAAGGAACTCAAATTGGCGCTTAGTTCCGTTTGATAGAAATACGTCCAATTCTCTATTGGATAAACAGGTTTTTTTATAAATAATACCTGGACGAGAATGCTCGATGTGTCAGCAGGAAATCTGCTGGTTCCATACAATATTTCTGTTTTTTCAAAGCGACGTCTTACCACTTTAAAGAGACTTCCGGTTGGCTCGACAAGAATTTTTATCTGGAAATTTTTTCTCGCTGATTATTTTTTAAGAAGTTTCAATAGTTTCAAAAAACTTTTACTAGAAACATTATAAGGTGATTATAAAACCGAATGTATCGTCGTCCCATTGAACGTTTCACATCGAAACAGTCTACCCTTAGACTCCAAGTGTTATGCCTTCATAATGAATTATATTTGATTATTTTAGTTGATGATCCTCTTGACTGTACCGCTGTTCATTTTGGAGGTGGATTTTGGGGCGTTCTTGCAACGGGTCTCCTAACAAAGAACGGGGTACTCCTACAAATGAGTCACGAAAGTCTTGAGGTAATTCATACATTCTTCCTCTAGGCACACAATATTAATTTACATTTTTCAATTACTTATACTGTAGCCGAAGATTCACTCTTACAACTTTCCCGATAACTGCCTTTAAGAGACGTAAAACCTTTCACGAACAACAGTTTGATCCTTATGCCCCCCTTTGAAGCTGAGGGAGTCCCCCCCCCCCCAATNCCCCCCCCCGAATGGAGGTCTCCCTTGACACGTTGTTTTTTAGTGCCCCCTATAGACCCTTCTTGATGAGGCGCCTTTCTGCCCTCCCCGCTCATAACGGAAAGTTCCCATATAGTTCCACTCATGGATGTTATCTTAAAGCAACAAGTTTTTTACCCGGCGCAATGAGGAACTGAACAAAAAATTCCTCGTTGTTATAAGACAGATTTTTCGCACGGTGCTCGTAATAAATATTAGAGGAGTGCGATACCTATTGGAATTTCAGCTATTTCAAAACGTGAAATCGCATTTTGCGTCGTTGGTTGTTAATTCGGTTTTCCGTTACATTTTAGATGCTGTGGCACCAGTTTGCAGGCGCAATGATCATAATGGTGTGGGCAGCGATCACTGGAATCATCCTGTTTTACGGACTCAAAAGTGTACATTTGTACAGGGTTTCGGCACAGGAGGAGTTGCAAGGTACGAAACGTGTTCTATCACACCATAAAATATAAGCTATTACTGTTCTTCCTTTCTTTTTTATCAGTTCTCAATAACAATGACCAACTTGTGCGTCAGATTCATACAAATTTGTACAGATGTTTGTAAATGCACATTCTCTAAGGGTGATGGGTGAAGTGTGCCGTGTGCGCGTCAAAGAACCGCATTTTCATTATTGAATTAATGCGTAACGCTCTAGAGAGGAGGGCCGAGCTGGGAGAGCGTTACGCCATTATCTTTTTCAACGTTTTCAAGGTTAGGGGCCTACGTCACAACCTACGAATAGGAGGGGGTAGGGGGTAAAAAAAATCTTAATATAGCGTCACGTATTTTATGCTGACTGAAATTGAATGGACTCATATAACATAACGTTTATATGGATTTTGTGTATAAATTGTACATAGGTACCTTTCTTGTAAATATTTTAGAGCCTTGTACATACTTTAGATACATTGTACATACGTGGCCCCTACATAAACCCTCTAATGGTCTAAATTATCAGAGAGAAACACAGACACATTTTAGACAGATTAGGAGTATAGTTTTGAGTCCTCTTCCGAAAAAATCGAGTAGAGAGAAAATATTTGGAATGCGAGAATAGTGGTTAAGAGTATTATAACACCAGGTTTGATGGAGGAATAACTATAAGCTCCTTTTCTCGGTTCCAACTTGATGTTTTCTCCGGTGGCGTGGCGTGCTATGCGATACATCGATTGATCTGCCATTTAAACCTATGAAAAAGGATCAATAAACAGGGTGTTCGCAACGAATACCTTAATAATCGATTCTTTACCATCGCATCGAATGGGGAAATATCGATAATCGAACATTCTCGCCTCGCTATTGGTTTTCTCTTGATCTGTCCCTGCTGAGCACGTTCCTGATATTACATTTTCCACAGGCAAATTAATCTCGGTGTTATTAAAAGTCGACTACAAAGTCAATTTCTCTCTGAAGCCTGCGACTCCAATCTATCTTCAGGATTTTGATAAAAATTAATAATAATCGTTGTATCCGGATAAAAAACGCTTTACCAATTTCTATTCCCGCAAAATTAAATGTATCTTTTTTTAAAAGCTTTAAACTTAATCGAAATACTGGGGCATTGAAGCTAAAGAGAAATCTTCCTCCCTACTCTGCTTTATTTAGTTGATGTAAATATGTATATTTTTTTAAATGAGTATTAATCCTGGTAAAAATGACTATATTCAATTCGTGTTATAAACACGGCCAATGGCGAGTGAAACATATCGACGGCGAAACTACCAAACCACGTATCTCGGTTTGCGACGTCGCAGACTTCCTGTCATACTTTATTTTTTAAATGAAAAACTACTTAACATCCAGTCTTGAAAATTTCTGTGATTTTTCCTCTTTGTGCGGAGAAAATTCCGTGAAAATTTCAAGGAATGATATTGATTTGGTCTACTTCAAAAAAATAAAATGTGAGCGTAGATTTTTAAACACCGCAAACGAGATACGTGGTTTGGTAGTTTCACCGTCGATATACGGTTACTGTTTTACTCGAGACTGTGTCAGATAATGGTCATTGTTACCTTGGATTTTCCTGAACATTTTTTAATGTTTTCGATAAATGACCATCATAGGTCTAGATCTCACGTCACACGTGGTCCTAACGTATCCTTGTGACGGCTGGGTGGTGACGAGCAAAGATATCACTCACGGCCAATACAGGATTTTCAGAGAGCGTAAGTAAATGAAAAACAACTTCGAGTGACGACTGTGTAGTTATGATAAATTCAGCATGGTTTTTTCTTCGAGAGCTTATATACATGCGCATCAGTCACTGGTGGTCACTCAAAAAGATGAATCTACGGCGAGAGTAAGCTAACATCGAGATATGGCACAAAGTTTCCCAGAATACTTGTTTCACTTTTAATTTTTGGCAAAGAATGGATCCAGTACGCCCAAATGCACATTTGAACGTATTTATGCTAAAAGGAACTATGTGCATAGGATTTGCATGTAACATAGTTCTATTAAGCATAAAAACGTCCATTTAAGCTATTTATATCCAAAATTTGATCTATTAAATTCTCAATTAAGTATAGCTAAAAGTTTGCGAACGTGAAAATTAACCTTCCAATTCGACTATCTGAATGTAGCATTATGCGTTCATATACTTCCACTCTTATCTTAGGGTTTACAAATTTAGAGTCTTTGGAAGGAACAGCTAAAATGTAACTTTAGACTTGATGGATTCGCTTTTTGCCAAAAATTCAAAGTGAAATCATTATTTTAAAAAATTTTGATCAACGTCTTGATGATCGTACACTTTTTGCGTAGATAAATCCAAGTCATCAGATTTGTCGCAGTTCATCGCGGATTGTTTTATATAAAGGGCTTGCAATTTTTTTTTTTTTTTTTTTTTTTTTTTTTTTTTTTTTTTTTTTTTTTTTTTTTTTTTTTTTGCGTGAATTTTTCCAGTTTTGATTTCGCTGGTTTATTTTAATGTGATTGAACTATATGTTAAATTATCCACAATGTTTCCACACAATTGATTCACCGTGTTGACTTTTGATTTCTATTTTCTGCCCTCCTCCTCCTCCCACCCTCAAATTACGTTCAATGTAAGTGTAAGTAAAACAAGGACGGATGACAGCTTAATAAGCATCCCTGTCCTCCGGCAAAAACCCGTATATATGAAAGAAGATATTAATTTGGAACGAGGAAAACACTCACAACCCTGAGAATAATTTCTTTGGATTTAGACGTCGCATTTTCCTCTCAAGGGCGGTGAAATAACCCACCGTGATTATTTGTCGGAACTCAGTGTGATTTTCCATTATGCCTGACCTAAAATGTTTATCTGAAATACTTACATAAAAAGTCTAATCAATTTCTCTCCGAGAAAACAAGATTGTATGTGCAAATGTTTTTCTGCGTCCCTACATTTTTTCTGCTCAAAAAAATTTGTCATCTCAGAGTGAAAAAAACTCAAAATGGGTTGATTCATTGTAAAAATGGTGTGATTTATATGCACGTAATTTTTTTCATGTTTTTTTTCTTCCCGTTTTCTGTCCGCCCTCTCTCTCCAAACCATGGAGATTTTTTATCACCACGTCTTTTCATTCTTTGCTTACTGTCCTGAAAGCTTATTCCTAATTTCGTTTTCCTCAATTCGATGTTTTAAGTTTGTTCACGATTTTGGTTTTTGACTTAGTGTAGGTAGCCATTGCTCTTTGTGCGCGAACCTGCTACCTACATCAGCTCAATTGAGGTGCTCGGAGGACAAAGCGCATAAGTGCAGTTTTTATTATTTCGAGAAATACATATTTGAAGTTTCGATATTACATGGATCCTTATGGTGAAAAGAAAGTTCAAACAGACTTTTTGATGCTTAAAAATTGAAATTTGGGAACGAATTTTTCACAAAATATGCATTAAGACTAGTTCTACCTAAAACAATCCATATCTCTATTTTTTTTAGAAACTGCACTCATGCGCCTTGTCCTCCAAGCCCCTCAATTAACAACAATATTTCATAAAGCGTTTACAATTTAGATAACCACACACTGTACCACGAGAGTTGGGCGCACAGTGGCGTGGCGTGAATTGCGATATATCGATTGTTATGCCATTTAAACCTATGGAAAAAGATCGATTATCAGGGCGTTCGCAGCGAACACCTTAGTAATCGATTCTTTACCATAGCTTCAAATAGCGATATATCGATAATCGATCCTTCACGCCACGCCACTACACCGATCCATCTTCGGAGAGCGACAAATTAAACGTGTGAGAGCAAGTTTTGCAAATCACATGTAGAAACGCTAACACCGCACTAGTCCTCAAAAAAGACACGGGCGTGATTCTCCTTCATTTAAGTGATTAGGCAAAAATAGATCACACACGTCGAAATAGTCGTATCCCTAGTTATGAAGGCTCTGGGGAATCGACGGTCAAATGACTATTCAGGAAAAGAGACTGATTAATTATTTCAAATCCAGCTAATCTCAAAGTATTCGGCAAAAAGAAAAGTTACGGAGTGGAAATTTTGCTCTCTTAAGTAACACCAGTATGTTAATTTCTAAAACATAAGGTACTCATGTAATTTTTAATTTGTAAATCTGTGTTTCTTGGAATCGTGTGCATTTCATTGAACATTTTTATGCACTAATACCACTCCTTGCAGAACCTCTATTAGTAACTGCGTGCTTCGGGTGTTTGCAACCGTTTGAAACTGAGTAAGATGGTAAATTTTACCTAAAACTTAACGAAATACTTCAACGTTGTGTACACTTTTCGAATAAGTACTTAGCGAAGAGACACATTGACACATTGAACTTCGGAAAAGATTATCCCCTTGCTCTCTCTACGAGGTTTATGACAATTTTTCAATTCAACTATTTGTTTCGTCAGAGAGTTTGTAAAATATAACTTAATTCCATGATGTCATTTGAGGGGACACCCTGACCTCAACACCACCTCTTTCCTTAAATGAATCTCTTTTTCTTGTGTGCGTTGCGTGACCTTGCATGCAGTATTTTTTCTCTTTTTTTCTGATAAAAACATTTACATTAATTGTATTTAGAATAATACAGGGTTAATTCAAATGCATGTTTTCGCAAGATAATGTTGATTTAAAATAGGAGAAATAATGTGCGATTTTGGGATAACTAAGGAATCCATCGATACTTGCAGAACTATTGAATTAGGTTCATACTTTGATCTTCATTTTTCATCCATGCTTTAGCCAATTAATACTGAAATTTCATCATTTACAGCGTGACTATAATAGCACGGCAAAAGGCTCATTAGATGATTTTCGACGGTGAAAGTCGGCAATCACATAACTCGTTTGCGGTGTCTGAAAATCTCCGCCTCTACGTCATGTTTTTAAAGGAGAACAAATTGATATTATTTCTTGAAGTTTTTGCATAATTTTCTTCGCATTGAGAAGAATAATCATGACAGTTTTAAAGAATTGCCGTTGAGTAGTTTTCCATTTAAAAAATAAAGTATGACAGGAAGTCTGCGACGTCGCAAACCGAGTTATGTGATTGCCGACTTTCACCGTCGTTTTACATAAATGCATGAAAAATATAGGGAACAGTTACCGTACTTGCATGATTTGTCGAGAAATTCATGGATTTTCCCTTCGCGAAGAATCTCTCCACAACATTATCATTGCATTCGCCCAAATTTTAGTTTCGCCTCCGACCATTGAGTGGAACTCCAGTACATTTTGCACAAAGGATAGCTCCAAAATTGTTTCGTGAACATACTTATCATGGCCGAATCAGAACCTTCTTGTTTATGCTCTCTTTAAAGTTTAGACTTTTTATCTTTGGGTTTGCTCTGACTATATGGCAAAGTCTGCGGTGTTTCCAATCTGAGGTGGAATTCCCTTGAGGCGAAAATCTCTCAAATGAAATTTCGGAAATCTACAAGTGCTTGCTAAGTAAGTGGACAGAGTACCAAAAGTTCATGTTAACTGTATCAGTAACGACAATAAACGCTCAGATTAGGAATCATTAAAATGCTGTCCCTTAGCATTTTGGATTTAAAAATGCGCGGTGCCAATTTTCAAATTCACTATGATACTCACAGCTTTTTTGTGATCTCTAGGTATTGATGGATTGTCGCACAACGAGGTGACATACCCGCCTGAAGCATGGAAAATGCCGACTACACTTCCTCAAGGATTCCAAAATGAAAACGCAGTCATTGGTAAGTGTATTCATAAGCGTGAACATGTATTATGCAAATTCATAGGATTGTAGATTAAACACGTACAAAAAATAAATAAATAAGGATCAGTGGCGTAACGGACTTCCGCTGGGCCCCCCTGCAAAATCTTTTCTAGCCCCCCCCCCCATGTCGGTAAAATTCCAAAATAATCCCCCCTCCTGCCCCTCTAGTTCCCTCACCCCTTCCCGTTTTTTGGCCCGAGAAATTTCAAATCACGGACTTGGACTTGGAACGCCTCTCCCCTCACCGTCCCGGATCCCGTACCCGATTAAATGGAGCCCCTAAAGGATCAAGGATCTAAAGGGTGGCGGGGGCCCAGCCCAGGCCCAAGGATCTACAAAAGGGCCCATGCGGGCCCAAGAATCGAAGGGCCCCCCAAGGGCCATGTGGGCCCTTTAGATTCATGGGTCACCCAAAGCCCGAAATACCTACGAAAAGTGACAAAAAAGAGAAAAATTTTAGTAATCACTGAGTGGACATTGGAAGGCAGGGGCCCTTCAGCAAAAAAAAGTTAAGAACAGTCCAAAAGAAGTATGAAAAACCCTGAGCTAATAATAAAAATCAGCGGAAGAAGCCCCATCTCGGTAAGTAAAGGCCCAAAGTTTGAAACCAAAGCTAAGCATCAAAGAGACAGAGCAAAAAAAATTCTGGCGGCCGAGGGCCTGGAGGGCCCCCTAGGCGCTTGGGCCCCTCTGCATAGCAGGGTCTGCGGGGGCGCCCGTTACGCCACTGATAAGGTTAAAGAGAGACACACGATGGGCATTCTCATTGGTAAGGGGTCGCCAGTAATCCAGTATTCGCAGCTTCCATCAAATCGCAATTGCCCGGAAACTAGGACCGCACATCTTATCTGATAAAATCGTTCGCCCTTTAGACTGATTCTGGGGGATTAGGCTAGACTAGTCGATGAGTCAACTGTTGGTCTAATTTCACTACGTGAACGCAGAAGAAAAACGGGGTAAAAAAAACACTAATGTGTGATCAATTTTCAAGGACAATTCTGTAAATTCTCTTACGATTTTAAATAGAATAAAACGCGTAATATCCAAAATCTAAGCTCAGATTCGGATTCCTCGTGAAAAATTGATGAGATGTCATGTATCATTTATTAAAATATGACGCGTATAGATTCTGTCGTACTTCCCCTTTGAAGTACGCCGCCGCCTGTCGCCCGAGTGAAACCGAACGGGGAGGCGCCACTTAAAAGCGCCGGCTAAGCGTTCGGTTTCGTCGCGAGGAATTCCTCGCGATAAATTCTTATTCTTCCTCCTCCGCTGACCCACTGAGCACTACCCATGTTGCCACGTTGCATTCATATGCTCGAATCAGTATGCCTACGTTACGTCTCTTTCCTTCACGCTATGCTCGAGTACGATACATGAAATTGCATCGATTTTTAACGAAGAATCCGAATCTGAACTTCGATTTTGGGTATCACGCGTTTTAAGTCACATTTTCCAACTTCAAAAATCCGAAATGACGGACGTGGCTAAAAATGCTATCTCGGCTCCTGTTCGATGGATTTTTGTGGAACTCGGTGTCAGGGTATGATACATGAAATCGCATCGATTTTTTACGAGGAATCCGAATCTGAGCTTCGATTTTGAGCATCACGCGTTTTAAATCAAATCTGTTAAAATTCAAAAAATTCAAAATTCGAAAATCCGAAATGACTGAAGTGGCTTAAAATGCTATCTCGGCTCCTGTTCGATGGATTTTTCTGAAATTTGGCGTCAGGAGGTATTTTTCGACGGGAAACTCGAATTTTCAGTCCATTTTTTAAAATTCTCAAATCGAAGATGGCGGACGTGGGCTAAAATGCTATCTCGGTTTCTGTTTGTTCGAGTCTTGTGAAACGCGGTATTATTTGGTGTTTTTCAACGGGAAACTCGAATTTTTAGTCAAATTTCCAAAATTCGTAAACCCAAGAAGGCGGCCGTGGCCTAAAATGTTATCTCGGCTCCTGTCGGCTTTTGTGAAACTTAGTAATAGTATGGGGGAAATCATTCCAGCGGGCCGATTATTGAAACTGATAGACAAAGCGATAGACAAAGAAGACACAGGGAGTATAGAGCGATCCTATTGGTTGACATGGTTGGTTCTTATAGACTAAGGAAGAAAAACCTACCTCCTATGTCCATTGCCACCACCCGCTTCCACCAATAGGATCCCTCCAAATCACTTTTGTCGTCTTTGTCTATAGCTTTGTCTATCAGTTTCAATAATCAGCCCGCAGTCAAATATTCAAAATTCGAAAATCATTATGGCTAAAAACCAGAGCATTGTATGGCGGGTTATGAAAAACTATTTTTCGCAGGAACAAAGTAACCCCGCTTCTTCAAAAATAGCAACTTCACACTCATAAGTATAGTGAAGAAATTTTAAGCCAGAATATTTTTTAACTGACAGTAGGTATTCCATGTAAACTTTTGATGAGGCACCGGCAAATTATATTCTATTAGTGCATTTTTCAAACTTTTTTACTTTTTTAAAACATTTTCTCTGTTGAAAAGGGCTTTCTAATTTTGCGTTGGTGGGTAGTAGTAATTTTCAATTTTTCCGGAGCTCATTCTTCTGCCAAACCCCCCCCCCCCCCCNCCCCCCGACTTATTCACGTTCCACGCAAGTTAGGAACGACAGCAATTTTCCCGTTTCTCCCAGCGGCAAATATGTAAATCCGGGCCTAATAAGTCGTGTGGCACTATGACTTTGCAACATGTTGCAATATGCGGAAACATTATTGGCAGTTAATTATGTGTCCGCGATGCCTTTGTGGAAATGTTTTTGGTGGAAAATTTCAACCATGTGACAACGTTACTGTTATGCCACACGGCGCTTTCGAACACCGAGGACTTCGTGGTAAACACGACTGTAAATTCAACGTGGAAAACCCTTCAGAACTAACAACCGCAGTCGTGCGATCTGCTAAAGAAAGCCAGAGCGCCTGCAATTCGTTTGGTATGCAACATGGACATCCCAAGAACACGAATAGTTGTATCCAGACCTAGCCATTCAAAAAGTCGGAACCAGCCCCCCCCCCACATCCATCGGTGGGACCCCTTTTAGTAAACTATCTTAGGGGGGTCCGGGGGGGCCTCCCTTCAGTAGGAGGGGGGTTCGGGGGGCCACCCCGAAAATATTTTAAAATTTTGCCTCCAATCTGAGTAATTTCATGCTATTTCCGCACTTATATTAGTGTATGCAAGATTTTTGCCCTTTCAAAATCTCAGAATAATTGCAGTTGTATGAAAATTTGTAATGAGCCGTATAAAAAAAAAAAAAAAAAAAAAAAAAAANAAAAAAAAAAAAAAAAAAACAATATTCGACGTATAATTTTTTTTTAGATAGATATAGAAAAAAACTTATTTTAAACATAGATAGGTCTTTAATGCCTGAAGTAAACTATTAAATCAGTTCTGACGTGGGTAAAATTTTACCTTTGATGAAAGAGAAGGAAAATAGAAGGAGATAAAAACATATTAAAAATTCAGCCTATTGCACAAAAAAATATACATCTGAAATTAGATGGGGACAATGTCTTGGCAAAGGATAGGCTATCCCAGGGGCAGACGCAAGCCTGTCTGAGCCTCGAGCAAAATCTCAATCAACAAAATTATTTTACTTTTGCCGGCAGATTGGTAATATAAATGGAAACTTTTGTGATTCTGGGAGGCCCTGCCGGGCCTCCCCCCCCCCCCAGGCCTTGGGCCCCGGAGCTGGAGTCCCGGCAACCCCCCCTATGTGGGGGGCCTGGCCAGTATAAGGATCAGCGACCAAGCATTTCATATCACGCTACTTATATGGGTTGAGTTTTTTTCTCTTTAATTTCATTCCATTTCCAGATTCGTTTCCAATGAGGAGATTTCATCGCCCCAAAGTGCCGAAGTTTCCCAAGCATTTTGAGCCTATATTTAGCCAGGTGTGCCGACCGTCCATCTCTTGAGTTTTCGTTACGCTTGATACAACTATTTTAACGGCTGAGTGGTGCTGTATTGCAGCCGGTTAAAATGAAGGCACTATGGACGAATGGTCAAAATTATCACTGCTCGTGAATGAACAGGTTTAAAACTTGTAATCTACAAGGCTTTGTAATCGCACGAAATTGCAACTTTCGATATGAGATTTTCACGAAAATAATGGTAAAAATGCAGAAGTTTACACAATTACATCTATCCTACAGAAATTCACTTACGTTTCAATTTTGAAATTATTTTCTTTTTCTGTTCGCAGGTAAACCCAGCTACGTGTCAAATCTGAATATTCTGCATAAGCAAGGTAAATTTTATCCCCAGCGACAAACACACGACAATATGGGCTTTGAGATGCGGGGAGGAAGGGAGTAAAGACGGCCAACTAGGACATGGTTTTCGAGAACTGCACGGCATTCGGATTTGTCGGGTTTGACTCTTAGTTTCGCTCCACTTGAGACGCATTCTGGAAACTGAATCGATCGATGTCGAAACCTGCCAAGTTCATTTCTAAAATGATCCAAAGAGTCCACATAGATGCTTAGAGATCAGAACTCATCAGAAATTGAAAATGTTGGATTTCAATATCGATCGACTTAATTATCCCAAGCCGGCGCTCTGTCACACCTTCTTAAAAGTGACCGAGTCTGTATAATTTTAACCTGACTACGCAACTGGTCACAAAAAAACTCCTCAGAGTTTCCGTGTTTTAGAGCTTTATCTCCTGGGAGTCAAATCCGTCTAATTATCGTAAGCGTCACAGAAAGTTTGGAATAAGTCACTGCTATACTACTCTTAGCAGTTGATTTGACGGTATGTGTTATTAAAAACTGGTGAAGAAAATCGAGAAATAAGACGAATCAGGAGTTATTCTAAGCAGTTAGTGGCGAAGCGTGAATGATCGATAATCGATATTTCCCCATTTGAGGCTATGGTAATGAATCGATTATTAGGGATTATCGATTCATTTCCATAGGTTTAAACGGCAGATCAATCGATTTATCACAAGGCACGCCACTGGCTCTAACTCTGACAAGGGCGGATCGCCCGAAATAGCAAAGGAAACAGTCAGATCAGTAATGCTTAATTGAAAGAGATTTTACCGTATTGAGGAAGTATTAACCTATTGAGGAAGTACAGGCAAACATCACATGGGTATAATTGTGTTAATTAAGAGAAGAAAAAATCTCCTAAGTCTCTACTGTGATTGACCTAGATAAAATTCAGACTTAAATATCCGTCCATTAAACCAAGAGGTTCGTGGTCCTTGGTGTGTTCACTGTATTGTAATTTGTTTGTAAATATCACTTATTGTACATTGCACTCTAAGAATAAATAATGTATTTACATCATGTTGTAATGTGTTTAACATTAAAATAGTTACATATATGCACTTCTAGTGCTTTAAGACGAGAAATGGAATATTCTTGGGCGCTGTCATCGCGTTATTTTTTTATCAGGTGGTAACGAAAGCTGCGATTTTTTTCTTAAATCCCTAGCGAATATTTCATAACTGACCTTCTTTTTCCCAGTCTCTCGCTTTTCCCTTTATCAAAGCAACTTATAGATATCAAATTCAATTATGTGAAAAGTTGACGTGACATCCACGTACTTCATGAGTTTTGATTTACAGTCTTTTTCAACATCGTGCATGACTCGATTCATCAACCCATTAGACACTCAAGATGTTGTTGATAGTGAAAGTCATATTATAATGGGATTTTCTCGAAAAGTTATTGTCTCCTGAGTATTAATTTCAAGTCTTCATGTTGAGCGTATGACTTCAAAATGGACACCATGCCTATCCAACTTCTCTATCAGGGACGTTTTTGCAAACGCAGCACCGGGAGGGTATACTCCACCTCTGAAAAACAGTTCAATTTTTGTTAAAAACTCTCACGCATAATTACACGGAGAAAAATTAATTGTTGCTTTAGCGTTTATAATGTTAAAAAAATGTGCGACAAGTATAAATGCTGATTTTACAATTTAAAAAATGCTACGTTAACTACGTCCACGGTTATATGAACAAATTTGATGTTGAGTTAGCATTTATTTAACTGTAAAATCAGCATTTGATACTTGTTGCACATTTTTTGAACAGTATAAATGCTGAATCTACTTTCAATTTTTTTTCCGTGAGGGTGAATTTTTTCGAGGAAATATGTCTTTAATATAATATATAAAGTTTATTTCATCGAAGGAAAATTAATTTAATATCTTTTGTCTTTCTTAATTTTTTTTTTCTAAATTTCATCTCACATCATTTTTTTTTAAAGCACTGAGATTTCTAAGCGCTCTCTCAGGAGATACCGACACCAATAGGGTTGATCTGGCTAGGGAGTACTAGGGTGCTTCAGCGCCCCAAAAATTCTGACAGCTGTCTCCGGGGGCCCTGGCAGGACTACTGTAATGGCCCGTCAAAACTTGAAAAACTCACATATGAAGGAGAACTTTTGGTTGG